AGTGGGGGAACTGCACCCCAACCTTGTGATGGACCAGGGGAAACGGGGCCCCAACCTCGCCCTGAAACGCGTGGGGCTGGCCCCTATATCGCCCTCCAGAGAAGGGCGTGGGGCGAGCCCATTTCGCACTTAATAAACGAGAAGGGGGCGCTCCCTTTCACCCCCTGCCAAAGCACAGGAGAACCTCGTTTCCTCTCCCGGAAGGGATGGTGCCCCACTTTAGCCCGAAAGAGGAGGGAACCCTAGGAGAAAGGGGACCAACTTCCTCTCTCCTCCAAGGCAGGGGAACCAAATCTCTCCCGTCCCCCCAAAAAGCCCGCATCACCTACCTATGAAAAGCGAGAAGACCCCTCTTTTAAAGGAAAAACATGAGGGTCTTCTCCCCAAAAAGAGGCAGGGGCTTCCATCAAAAGGGCTAGAGATTCCCCCACCTTTTTTGCCCTCTACGGAATAGCTAGGAAATACCTCCCGCCCAGAAAAAAAAAAAGCGCAAAAGAACCCCTACCCAAAGGACCCCCCCCCGTAGGAGGATGGAGAAAGGACTAAACGAACCCCCACTTTCTGCCTCCTAAGTAAGCTAAGAAACCTCTCCAAGTAGACTAGGGAAGACCTCCCCCAGGAGAAAGGATACTGCCGGGGACTGGGGGACCCCCCAACTCCAAACCCCTAAGAGCGGGGCTGCTGCTCGAGATCCCCCGAAAAAGGGTCCGGGGGCCCCTCCCCCATCCCCGTCCCCGAAGCCAGGCGACGGGCAGGCGGGCCCATGACTGCCAGCTCCGGGCGCAGGGGCAGCCAGGACCCCCGCGGGCCTCCGCGGCCCCCCCTGGCGCCCCCTCCCCAGGGCGGGCGCGGGGGGTCCGGGGGGCGCCTCCTCACCTTCCCCTCAGCATGGCGCCCAAAAAAGACAGAGCGAGAGCGAGGGAGAGCGGGCGAGCGCCGCGAGGGGGGGTGAACGCATGAGGCCAGGAGAGAAAGCAAGCGAGAAAGAGCGAGCGAGCGAGAGACACCCACCGACCCCGCCCTTCCTCCTCCGCCTCCGCCGCCGCCGCCGCCGCCGCCGCCCGGC